CAAATATAAAGTTCTTGTTGTAGGTTTTGGTTCTTTGTTAAAAACAAAAATTAAAGAGTATACAGTTTTTCTAAAACTACAGCCGCTAAAAAACGCAGCATATGTGATAGAAGCACAGCAGCAGTGTTTGTTTTGCCATTTTTACACGAACCTGGTAATAAGGCATGTCTGTACATTAAAAAAAAACAAGAATAATTATTAATCCATGTTTATTTTCAAATCAACACTTTAACGTTCACTTGTATCTAAGGAAGGCTGGGGAGGTAAAAAAAGATTAAGGGGTGGAATTAGGATAAGTTACAGCTCATGAGGTACTCCATCAGAGCATCTCTGACACCTCGGCCCTGCTCTCCATCTTGCGGGACAGCGACCAGGACGGGCTGTGCGGCTGGTTCTGCTTCAAGTTCATCGAGGTCATCCATTTTGGTTGTGTGTTATTTTCCGGCTCTTCTTCTTCTAATGCATGTAAGTGGTGCTTAGAAAAGAGCTTAATGTAGCACTACCGCCACCAGCTGGTAAGGTGCGTTGATATTAATAATCCGCCCACTAGAGGTGAACAATCCGCCCACTAAACGGGAACTTTAGGCAATGTGGAGACAGAAAAATAGAGGTCCCACCAGAACTGGACACAACAGGCTACAACAAGAACCAGACCTGTGGATACCAGGCTTATGTACACAGGGTCCCAAAAAATGTTGGACTTCCTGAGATTTAATTTTAACCCATGACTTGGTGGTGTCCCTGAAAAGGACGTCAAGGCTCTCTTTTCTACCTCCTCCATGTACAGGTTGGCAACAATCGGAGAAACTGGAGACCCCATAGCACACCCATGTTTCTGCCTATAATATTGCTCCCCATATGTGAAGTAGGTTGACTGCAGGCAGTTTCAAGAGTTGACACAGTTGTTCTGTGGAAAGCGTGGTCCTGCTGCTCAGAGTGGTGTCTGATTTTAATCTTAAACTGACCACCTCTACTGCATCATCAACAGAAATGCACTTAAAGAGGGATGTGACATCAAAAGAGACCATTGTTTCATCAGTTTCCATGATAACATCCCTCACCTTATCCACAAAGTCCATGGTGTTCTGTATGTGGTGTTCTGAGCTGCCAACTAAAGGGATGAGTACAGAAGCCAGATATTTGGAAACATTGTAAGTGACAGAGTTAGTCACGCTAACAATTGGTTTTAAAGGTACACCTTGTTTGTGAATTTTAGGTAAACCATACAGACTAGGTGTGGCCTCCCCTGGGTACAGTCTGTGGTAGAGAAAATGGTCAATAGCCTTGTCCTGTTCCAAAATTTTCAGGCAATCTACCAACTTCTTCTTGTAACCACTTCCTGGATCTCTTTTCAGAGGTTCATAAGTGGTTTTAAGTCACTAGGGGTGGAGGCCTACGTGTTCAATTGTCCCCCTCTTACAATGCTGTTATTGCTAGTATCACTCAACCCCCTGTGAATAGTAAACAGCCATCAGTGTGCTAATGATCCATTGTTAGACCAATGGTCCTTTTTTTTTTTTTTTATGTTTTTTTTTTTAGCTCAGTTTAAGTGTAGAAACATTGCGAAGTGTTTCAATGAACTTATCATCATCGCTCAATTTTTTTTTTTTTTTTTTTTTTTAAAGAAAGAGAAGAAAGAAGAATAAATAAATAAATAAAAGAGAAATAGATCAAACGAGAGACCACCACGACAAAACAACATGCACAGCACAATGCCACCCACAATATCACCATGAAACATTTGACATCGCACAAGGAATCATCTAGCTTCCACCACAACCCAACCTAGCGTGCATCAGTCAAAGCACCTGAATCCAAACACCCGCGCAAGCACGCCCGCCACCACCAGATTTCTCCAAAAGAATGCCCAATAGTGGACGCGGGGGCCCACAGACCCGCCCCCCCAGGACACAAATGGCAACATATGGAGGACCGGAGCCACAGACATACAGCAGCCCACAGGCACGGAGCCCCAGGAATCTCCCAACAGGGAGAACCGCACCCCCCCAGAGAGGAGCAGAGGAAAGAACCGGGTGACCCCAGCCACCACAATGCAGAGCCTCCAGGAAGCTGCAGCGACGAGCCCACAGGTCTGGCCGGCAACCCATGCCCCCCCCCCAAGTAGATCCAGCCATGGGCACCGAGCCCCAAGCCCCGAGGCCATACCACCCCCCAGCAGAGCCCCGACAGAGCCAGGGCACCCAGGCCCCGCCAGGCAGCAACCAGGGTGGACCGACGTACACCCCACCACCAAGCCCAGACGCCAAGAGCCACCAATGCACCGGCGGCAAGGGGGCCCCCCGCCAAAGGGGGGCACGACCGGGGGGAGTGGGCCCCACACCAAATGTGGGGCCCAAATTGATCCAAGAGAGGGGGGACCACCAAAAACCCAACCTAAGCAACTAACAGGCACACACAGATAGCCCGACAGAATCTCTGTCGGGCCGACAGCATGCACCATCTACCTGACAGCGACCACAGGCCGGCCCCAGCCCAAGGGACAGAGCAGCAGGGAGCTGCAGCCGAGGAGGACCGGCTCTCACATTAAGAGCTCCGCACTATAGGCCCGGAGACGCCCCAGCACGCCACCTACGCACCCCCCCACACACACAGCACCCCCACCGCAAATGCCACACAGGAAGACCAGCCAGTGACCTGATGAGGCGAAGTCACGCCCCCAACCGCCGCCCTACACCACCAATGACCACACGTACACTACCATAGCCGACCCCCCGCCGAAAGCCGGCAGCCACCCCGGTCAAAGTGCCGGCCATCGCAACCAGGAACCTAGATTAAAAGAATCGGAACAGCCCAGGAGGAACCGAAGCACCGGCCCCATCACTAACTGCCCCCAAGGCCCAAAGCCCACCCACAGCCCAGATCCCAACAATGTGCCCCCCCCCC